AAACGGGAAAACCGGCATATTGATCTGTCTCTCCCAGACGGCTCGAATGCCAACCACGCTCCGGCTGTCTGCGCAACGGGTCCGTGCTTTAAAGAGGATGGACACCGTACGGGAAAACGTGCTTAATCCGCGTACACGGCGATACCAAATGGCACGTGCGTGCACGCAGCCCACCCGGCGACCGCCATATTGTCGCACCGCGAGCGATGTCGAACAAAAATGTCTATAGCTAACACAATTGTGGATAGTAACACTGAATTTTTGTTCTGGATTAAAGCGTTGGCTTCGCTCTGTCCAAAACAACACAGAGATTCTACTCGATAAGTCCTGCACACGCGATTTCATTCAGAAAATGTTTTTTACCGCGTTTCGGAGGCGAATACCCCGAGAAATCGCGAACTTTTCTTGAGATCACCAGGGACTTAACAAACGTATGTTTGCTATTTATTTTGAAATTTTCTTCTGTATAGTTTGTTATTTTGCGGCAATTTGAACGTGACGGATTTATGGAAATATTGCGAAAATATTAAGTTACGTTATTAACACGTTGAATGCCATGGGGGTCACTAGTGATCTCCAACCAAATCGAATTACTGTAGTTCATTCGATCAAACGATGATTGTTTGAAAACATTTCTATATTATAAATAATGCTACGTAATGTAGTAACATTCAGCTAGACCAACGTGTAATAATAATAATGCAATTAAATCAAATAATTTAATATTATATTTGTTTCATTTTGTGTATTTTGCTCTATGAAATCGTGCGGTGTTCAACGTGTTAAATCGTTAGATGACTGTATTCAATTTGGACTTGCCCTTGTGTCAGGCTATTTGTTTTTAATTATTTCTTCAGTTGTTGCTTCGTAATTTTTCTTCTGATTTGACGATTGTTGAAATTATATCTTGAATACTTCGCTGAAAATAGAAAACAATCGGTTTACTTTTGTAATAACAATATTATATAGCTTTCTACATTATGTTATTTTACTGCTTCCTTTTTTCCTTTGTTATTTCTGCGCTGTCGTTGGACAATGCATGCATTATTATTATTATTCGTGATGCATTCATGAAGAATGAATATTAATAAGAGTAACACGATGTGTTACATCTTATGCTACGTGAGGCGAATGGTATTCACATTTATAGGAAACTAATCATCGCGAGTCTGAATCATTGTTACAGATGATCAGAACAGAACAGAAATTAAGGAATTATATGCTCACAATTTATAGAATAAATAAATGATTACGTAACTTAATGTATCATATGCTTATTAATGCACAAAATAATTCAATACTGTAGCGACACATGGTTGGTTCGCAGCCCAAAGGATCGAAAAAAATTGCTTGCACAGATTAAAGCAAAAGTCCAAAACTTTCTTTAACTTCTGCCAATAAAAAGATCGTCTGAAAATTACTTTATAACGTGCGCAGGATGGACCAACTGTGTTTTCTCTGTAATAACACTTGATAACCACGTAATGCTACGGGACTACCCAGCTGCGCGGACGAGGAAAGTCCCAAAACTTGTGTAAGCACCACTGTGCTTAAAATGGCAGCGTTAGGGGAGTTTTTCCGTTGCCATATCAAGGCAGATCCGAACAGGAAAACTCCACCCTGCATATAAGTATATAAACGCAGGCATTTCCGAAACACCTCTCCTAGAGTTTTAGCTCTTCCAGCCGAGATTACTATCTTCGTGTCTAACCGATTCATAACGTTCATGTCCAGTGTGTCGAGCATAGTTATTTATTAATAAAATACGTTATAGAACACACTTAAAATTTTAGTAATTTCTAACTGTTATAATACCTTCTATCAGAGTGTCAGAGGACCAGTAAGAACGCTTAAAGAGAACGTTATATTAAGTCATAGTAGTTCTTTACCCTTTGCACTCGAGAGGTGACTCTCAGTCACCATTTGATTTGATATAACAAAATTACAAAGTGTCATATATAATATTAAGTTTTGTACAATGCATCGATATATGAAATATTTATGTGAATTAGCTTTGTTTCTTAAATTACGTATATTTTCTGATTAGTTAGTTTCAAATAGTGTCGTCTATGTTTCATCGGAAAGTGTCGAATGTTTCCAGTGAAAAGCATTCGAGTGCAAAGGTTTAAACAATTCGCTTAAAGTTTATCAAAATTTACGTGTACAACTTATTATTTCGTGTTTCATAATAACATTGAAATGAATATTTAATTAATTATTAACGTGGAACCATTTACTTTGTGCTCAGTAGTTAATTCAAATATCACTTAATGATATGTATTTCATTGAATTTCCTATTATAAGACTTAATTTCTTTTCACATTATATTCACAAATTAAATAATTCATTATCCATTTAATGATTTTATGTTTACATTTTTCGAAAGTAATTCCCTTTTTCAGGTGGTCATTTTTAAACGTCTGTGCCATTTTTTATTCTAAGTCTGCAAGTCAAGTGATACGGTACAAGGATCAGTAATCCCATGAAAAATATCGTTTGAAACAAGGGTTTCGACGATAAAAAACTTCGAAAATCCATGAAATAAATTTTTCTTCGTACCACAGTCTCACTCACACCATGAAACTGTTTCGAAAAAAATACATTCGTCTCGTGTAAAAACGTAGTAATATTCATTACTCCATTTCTAGAAATTATTCTTACAAACACTTTAAAACAATTTAAGTGCCATTATTATTAAACGAAACTTCCTCGATTATTAAAGAAAACCACAAACAAAACAAAGAATATTATAAATCTCAATATCACATTTTCTTTTTGCATTATAAAATTCAAAAAGACGTAAGAGAATTTCATTTTTAACACGTTGAATGCCATGGGTGTCAATTAAACAATGATTATTTGAAAACATTTCTATATTATTAATAATGCTACCCAATGCAATGACATTCAGCTAGATATATTTTTTCCATTTTATGTATTTTGCTCCATGAAATCGTGCGGCATTCAACGTGTTAAACAAATCTTATCTGAAATCTTCGGTTGTTTAACATTTTTCAGTGGAAGATTTCGCGTGTCGAGAAGCAAGCGAGCTGCGAGAAAAATCTAGTGAACGCAGGTGATGTTCAGCAAAATTAGATCGATCGTCGGTGCGTTTCGGTTGAAACGTCGGGTGACTCACCATGTGTGGTAGTCACCGTACACTGAACTATCCACTTTAAAAGACGCCACGAATTACGTACCTTTGACGTATTATTATTGATCACGGAGCCCGGGCGCATTAAAGCAGGAAGCTCGTTTAAGATACTCCGACGTCATCGTCCACGATTTTCACGCTACAATCTACTTATACCTACTAGTATATACCGTAGAACACCATTCCACCATCTTGCACGCTAGTAAACCGCAACACGAACCTGGTGAACTTCTTATTACACGATCAAAAAAAAAAGAGGAATTACAAGTGCAAATTGCCGTCTGCAAAATGTAGACTTCAACCGAGTGTATACGGTAACTCTGAATAAAAAGTTGTCTTTAATAAACTCGTACACATTCACGCAACGACACCGGTCAAGATTATACATGAAGTTCCATTAAAAGTGGTTAACATATTTTATGCACGAGGAAAAGTTTGTATTAAAGATCGTGTTAGATTATGCGTTGCACCTGTAAACTTGGAACATGGTATTCCAAAGAAGAATAAAAATGATTTGAATTATTGCTGAAAGAAATTTTCGCTACTCGTTGTCGATGCATTGTAAGAAACATTAGCTAAAACGTAAGGACGATTCTTATATTTGGATTGTCTAATCTCGAATTTATTGAAATAGTATGATGAATCGATTATTCTTCTATTTTTTCTATTATTATATCTATTATTCGTCTATTATCGAGTACAAGTTCTTTCGTTTTCTGGCTTTTATTTTATTCGATTATCTGGTGAGGGCATAAAGCAAAATATAAGGGAAAAAATTATCGAGACAACTATTCGATGAAATATATCAGATTATTTTTATTAATTTATTATTCGATGAAAATCTTCATTGTTGTATTATTCGATGCACTGCTGAATGTAGTAAATGTTGACGCACTAAATGGTAAGTGGGAACAGAATTATGCAATTTTTCGAGTGCGATAGACGAACAGGAAGAAAGAAGTAGCGGCTCCCTTTAAGGATCGATATTACTGTGTACAGTATAGATGCTTCTTGGCGTATCCAGGATAGAACGTGGAATGGCTGACGACGTAATGCACTGGATGGTTTGATTTTCTGCTCGTGAAAGAGGTGGAAGCCCGAGGGCAACCACCCCGCCTCGAAAGAAACTCATAACTTTATTGTCATCGATTCGTGAACTTGTCTTCCCTGGTACGCATTTGTTTCTCCTTTCGTTTTCGGTTCTCTTTTACACCTTTACCGTCAGGGTTATTTATTGCGACCATTAATCCTTTGAGAGCCAAACATTTTTTTTCTACGATCATAATTCTTGCTCAAAATCGTCTGACATTTTTTACAGACGTGTATCAAATTTTTTACTAGCATTTAAAGCATTAATGGATGATTCAGAGGAATTTCTGTTTCATGACGACTAAAATAAAAAAATTCGTTTTAATATAAGTAAAATAAGTTGTTAATAAGAAAAGTTGAGTGTTTCTTATTTTACTTGTCTATTGTACATCACGCATTTATAAACGCTACAGAACGTAACAAAGGAAGCTTAGACAGATTTAATTAAGTTTCATTAATTCTGTGTAATAAAAGTATTAACATTTTTCTAAAGAAATATTCATAGGAGCTGTAATCTGTTGGTAGACAATTATTCCGTAAGATAATAATCGTGCTCTTCAAATCGCAGAATATTCATTTTGCAAACCAACGGCTGATTTTGAAATCATGAAAAGAAATAAATTCTTTTTGGAACATGAATTTTCAGAATTCGATTTAACAATAAATACTATATTTATTTCATTTGTCTTTGATTTACTTATCATACCTTTATTTATCTTATTTCCCTTTACTACTGTATTCTATTTTAGGCGAAATTATTATTATTATTCTTATTATCTAATTTCAATCGTTAAAAACTTAGTAAAAAAATGTTTATTATATAAGACGGACTAAGTATATATGTGCGTAATTTAATTATGTTAGATGTAATTAAAAATTTTCATTTCTTTTACTGACAAATATAAATATTTTATGTTGTAGGAAGAAGCACGACGCTTTGGAGTACTTGGATTTACGGAAAGACCCCATTGACGTTCGCCCGTCTCTAACTTGTCACTTAAAAATGCATTCGCAGTCCTCGTGCGATTGTTATTGCAAAATTCGCGAGCCGACCGTGCGACACAGAAACGAGATTCAGTCTGACAGGAGCCGGGTTAAGCTCGTGACATCGAGAACTTCCGTTTCCAAGGCGGACACCATCAGAAGCGGAAGGAAAGCACCGTTCACACCTGCAAATCCTATCAATGATGACCAGGTATTTTATAATTGAAACGCTGCAGCATTAATGCATTCACAGCGTGTGGAAATGTACAAAGACGCGATGAAGTGAATATTTCAATGATGTTCTACGGTCTCTATCTGTTTTCAAATTAACACGTTGACTGCCACGAGAATTTCAAGCGTTTTGTTATAGTAAAATTAATTCCTTTATAATAGAAGAAAATATTATTAGAAATAATTATTAATGTTACTAAATATTTTGATTAAATATCAATTTTCTTATTGTAATTGTTTTCAAGCAATTTGGAAGGTTCAGTGACCACCATGACAGTCAACGTGTTAACCCTCGACGTACTATTTATTTTCTCTACTAAGTAAGCGTAATTTATAAGTTCACTATCGACAATTTGAAAGAAGTGCAACAAAATTGTCTAATCTACTTCAAGTGGAAATTTCATTTGAAGATAATACATTGATAATAGCAAAATAGTTGTTTGCTTTGATTTGTGGGCAACGAATAATATTGATTGTTGTTAAATTAGTTTAGAAATCTTCATCACGAGTCTCACTCGTCATTGTTTAATTTATTAAAGAAACCATTAACAGAGAAATGACGTTTTTTTCGAATTACCATCTTCTTAAATCAATCCATTGATACTGAAGCTTGTGTTAATTCGCAGTTTATTTAATAACTGTTGTTCAATAGTTAAGATTATTTATGGGAAAAAATCTGGAATAATGTTGTAGATTGTTGTGCATTTCGTTGTTGGAACACTGGATTTCCATCGTTGTTTATAGTTTCCTTCGATGCTTTTTCAGTTTAAAATTTTCAGTTTAAATTATCATTATTCTGTAAATATTTTAAATGATGATTACTATGTGAACATGGGAAACGATGATTCGAGGTGTATAAAATATACGTAAGTTTACGAATGAAGTTAAAACAGAATAAGACACGTTACTTTCGTAAAAATTTATGAATCTTTTTACGAGACCTCCTCTCCAATCGTATTTCTTGTGCACTTTAAACTTCGAAATCTATCATGAAATGTTCCGAAGCTTTTTCTCCTGAGTATATTCAACACTGTTTCACTCTGCAAGGAAGTATCTTAAATCTTTCAAAATATTTAAAAGTCTCTTAAAAGTTCCAAATTTATTATAGACTATGTCTATAAAGGGGAACGGTTTACATGAATATTTCAATTTCACTTTTTCTGAATAATTTAGTTATTATATAGTCATTCATCTCTGTTTGTTATACACTTAAAATTTTTCATTAACACGTTCGTTAGCAGCGCTTATTTCGGTGACGGTCTCCTCAATTGTAATATTTTATTCAATCCAATGAATCTTCTAAAAAAAATATCGAAAAGAATGAAACTGGGACGAGTTATTGAGTTCCTAAATATAATGCCGTAGCTTATAACTTTAAATAACAATATCTATAAAATTAATTTCATTTGCTTTATGTAAAATATGAGATTATGCCCGTCACAAATATGTGACGCTGGTAACGAACGTGTAACACGTTACATTGATGCATTAAAAATGAAATGTAAATGTATAAATCAAAACTTTAGTATAGAATTCTTCCTATATAATTTTGTTCGTTGAAACAAATTGATAAAAATTTTCTCTTATATAAAGATCTGTATATCATTAACAATTTGTTACTTTCTTTATAGCTTGATACTAAAAGATCCACGGTTACACTTCCGATTTCTCCAGTCCTTAGTCCGGAAACATCGGCAGCTCTCGAAGACGTGGACAGATTGGTCAAAGATGCGGAAATCCAAATCAAAGCAATTAACATGGCCACCGACTGTACTGGTTTACGAAGACCCATGAACGCGTGAGTTCTATTTTTAAGTATACACCTACAAATACTTCTCTTTTTCATCGCGACAAAATGTATTATGAATACAACACCTTTCGATGATTGAGTGACTCAGATAAATAGTAGACCAATTCCAATTTGTAAGTTCTCAGGGAAACAAAGTTTCTGTGAAATATTCTTGGATTAGTTAAATACCAATACTTCAATGTTATTAATGATGATTAATACTATTATTAAATATTAATAGTATTTAGTGGATAACAATATTAATTTGTTAATATTAATAATAGTAATAATAATATTTAGTTAATAAATAAGAATTCAAAAATATTAATTAGACCACTATTATTCTGAGCCATTCAATTATCAGAACATAAGCAGTTTTTAATTTTCTCGAAATGAATACTACACGCGACGAAAATTAATACACTTTTTGTTAATATACAGTAATAAATATATGTAAATTTTGAGCACATTAAGAAATTGAAATAATATTACATATTTTCTAGGTATCCGGACGAAATATCCTTAGACGACGAAAACGATCAACTGTTGTACGTTCGTGAACGTGTGGCTTACAAATTCCAAGAAGCGAACGGTTGGATCGACGTGAATCACGCGGTTCAGAAAAACGAAGAGATATCGGACGAGGGAAGCGTTCCGTTTAAGCCGAAGAAAATCACCGACTTCTCTGCGCCGAAATTCAAAACCTTCGAAGAACGCTACAAGGAATTCCCGAAGCGCGGACCGTTCGGAATCCAGGATCTAGGAATTCCAAGCGGGAGTGCGCAAAACAAAGAGGGATCGAAGGAGCCTAACGAAATACCGAATCTCGAGAGAAACACGAAGATGAACACTTTTTCCGTGCAGTCTTGTCCGCCAGTGAACATCGAGAGGGAACTAACGGCACAAAATTTAGAAAGTATTCATATACCCCCCGACGCATCTTTTTATCAAGAAAACGCCAACATTGGAACCTACGTAGCATCCCATAATCCTTGGAACAGAAGTCAGGCACCGATTCGCAAAGAGAAATTTGCGAAAATATCGGAAGAGCTTAACGAAGCTACAAGCAACAGAAAATCGAGTGAAAAGCAAAAGAAGAAGAGTGCAAAAGCGAGCAAGGATACAGAAAACAGCGTCGAGTCGGCGCGTAGTTCAGTTTCGAAAGAAAAATCGGAAGTTTCGGAAGGATCTAGTAGAACTTGGTCAGGCAACAACGAAGAGGGTGCAGAAAATGTGGAAAAGTTGGATGAGGTACCAGAGAGGGTAGCAGTTGCTGATCGAAACGAGGAACATGTAAAATCGGTAGCTGTAGAGGATGTCGCTGTGGGTCCTGACTATCGAAAAGTAGAGGATCGAGAGGTGCAAGTGGAAATTGAAATGGTCGAACGAAAGATGAATGATAGAGCAACGAAGGCTACTATCAGTGGCAAAGGTGAGCAGAAACAGGTACGGTTTAACGAAGAAGTCTTAGAAAGGGTTGAACAATTGGATGAAGAAGATACCAAAAGAAACGATAAAGAAAAAAGTTCAACTTCGATACAAGACGTAGAAATGCCGGAGTTTATTGAATCGGAAGAAGATGAAATCGTTTTGAAGGAAAATTTTGATGGATACCAAAGTACACCGACTTCAAAAGCAATTACAGTACACAAAGATACCTTGGCATTGCGTAAACGGGATGAAAAAGAACTCAAGAAGAAGAAAAAGAAAATTTCTGATGCGGAGAATCGTGAAGAGGAACATTTTAAACTCGTCGACCAACGTTTCGCTAATCTTCTTCACAAATATTGCGATTGGAATGAGAAAAATGTCGAAGACACCAGTGTTCTTGCATCCTCTAGTGCTGATTCATCCGGTACGAGTTCGGGAGATTCAGTTGTTTCGGATGAATTGTACTATCCGTCCTTCGACAACTTGGATAACGTGTTGCAAGCTTACAGCAAGATAATCGACGATGTTTCAAAATCATCGAGAACGATCGACGAATATCTATCTAGGCCGGAACTCGAGGAATTTCTGCAACACGACGTAACCGCTGAAAGCAGCGAATCTCTAGCTTCCGTGCAGTTCAACCGAAGAAAGGTCGAGATGCCAAAGAAGAATCCCTCCTATTATTTACAACCTAAACAGAACACAGAAAGGAGGAACAAAGACTTAGTCAAAGATCACATGGCTGTGAAGCACGAACATACAAATAAAGAACATCGATCCTGTGTAACGATGAGTCGAGTTAAAAGCAAAAAGTCCACGCCACTGAAAGCGACTGGAAACAATAAACATGGTAATAATTCTAGATATAAACCTGTCCTGCCAAAAAGCTCGTTTAAAGATCCATCGCAAATTGATTTGAAAGTTGCAACGCGATTTGATTCGAGGACGTTATTGGACGAAGAAACGGAATTAAGCGGAACGAGCTACGGCGAAATTGTAAAACATATCCATGGAAAAGAGTCAAATACTTCTAAAGCGCCCCGTCTCTGGAATTCAAGTGTCTTTCTAGTTAATGATGAAAGTTCAAGCTCGACTTCTTCCACTAATCGTTCGTCTTTGAAAACAGATGCGCGGAGTGTCAGCGAAAAGAAAGTGGAAGAAGCTTCGGAAATCTTGATTGACAGCGTCGCTGAAGAGGCTGCGAGTCTGCGATCCAATATGGCGTCCGAGCAAGACGTCGGAAGGAAAGAAAAGGGTAATTTCGATTATCCACCAGCCGACGTAGCGTTCTCCGATATTTTCCGGCAAGGATTTCCGGGATTGACAGACGCAACGAAGATCACTGAGCATTTGATTGATCGTGTACTCAAAGAGGAGACCAAGAACATCGAAGATAAAATCAAGAATGCGTTCAACGTCAACGAAATCATACCTGTATTGATGAAAAGTTTGCTAGAACATTTACAAAAAGATGCAACCAGCTCTCCGCAGAACCTGGAATTGCTAATTTCGGAGAATGTGTCGGTGAACAATGTCGAGTCGAACATTCACGAGATAGAAACCACGCGCGTGACGTCTCCCAATGAGTCTGAGAAGGAGAACTTGAGAACAGGGTTTCAAGCTGATAACGTGGAAACGATTGAAAACAATGAGAAAATAGCTGACAAAAATACTACCAATGAATTCACTAGTGAAAATATTAAGATTGATCTCGTCGACAAGTCTGCAAGTCGAAATTCCAACGCTGAAGGAACTATGTCACACTCCAAGAACTCGATTGACGAATTGGGTAAAGTTAATTCTAACAGTGTGTCGTTAAAAGAACTTTCGGGCACAGAGAATAGAAATACGGATTCGAATAGAAGCGTGAAGAACACTGTAGAAGACAGTGAGAATTTGAAGCAGAAAGGATATAGTGCTGGAAGTGTTGCTTCCGCGAAGAACGTTTCAAGCATTGTCGACGAAAAAACGAAAAACAAAGAGGATAGAATCGAAGAAAAGAGCCAAAGTAACGTTTCAGTAAATACGAATGAGCGTACAAGTTCAAAAGCTGTGGATAGATCGTCTGTAAAAAATGACGGAGCAGAAAGTATAGGGCCAAAAGGTTGTTCGAACGAACATTTCTCAGTAGCGGATAAACTGAGTTCCAAAGTTGAAAATGAGAAATCCCTTGAACCGTGTTTGAACCAAAACAGAATGAAAAATTCTGTAAAATCTGATGACAATGTCCAAAGGAATTCATCTTCCGATTCTCTGCGAGATTGCGCATCTCTACGGTCTTCTCCAAGAAACGAGCCGAAAGCATCGAGCATGATGGAATCGGTTCACGGAACTAATGAAAATGAACAAGTTGATTTTGACTCAATGAATAAAGCATTTAACGGTATTCCAACAGAAATATCGAGTCAAAAGGGACCATATTATAATACATTTACAAAAGAAAAGATTTTGTCGGACCTGTATGGCGAAATGCATGCACAACTCTTAAATTCTACAGCCGGTACAAATTATTCAAATTTGGTCCAGCAGGATCTTAGGTAGGATAATTCACTGTTCTTGAATGTTTTCTGTTTCTATGTTATTTGCATGAACTTGAATACGTTAGTTAGATTTAGAATTAGCAACCCTTTTTATAAAGGCAGGTTTCATAACATTGCGCAATCATATTTAAATCTTGCCTTTCATATTAATTATAGCTATATTACTTTCTTTCTTTGTCATATATTTTTTATAATAGCGGTGAAAACATTGTATTATTAAAGAATATTAATTGTCGTGTCAGAAAGTTTATTGAAAAATGGTATTGTCATAGAATAATTTTGTTAATTTACAATAATTATTTTAAACAATTAAATGGCATAGAGTATTTTCAGTTGAACCATATTTTATATGTTAATACGCATCTGTATAAAGTTTAATTTGAAATTTGTCATTTTATTCTGTACCGCAATTGACATTTTTTTTATATGTTTATTATATAATTCTAAATGCTCTTTTTTATTGTAGGTCATCCGAAAATAAGCTTGCAACAAATTCGAATAAAGTAAGATTATATAAAGTAGTATATATTCTAATTTCTATGTAAAAAGTTCTTTTTTAATTACACTTCGCAATTTCAGGTTGAAATATCATCGCCGGATACTTCCCGCTCTGAAGGAGAATTCTTTTTACAAAGTTCCGGTTCTTATTCTCTAGGTGAAGTTAAAACGTTAAATGCAGACGAACGTGACGACGATATTACAATTTTTGTCACGAAAGAAATGTTGACTTTATGGAATGAGTCTTCGAAAGTGAGTACAATCTAAAGGTTATAAATATCGTGTAATTTTTTTATTCATTATAACTTTAATTACCATTGGGACAAATTATAGTATTTAAGTACATTTATAGCAATATGTATCACAGATCTGATAATCTTGCACCAAAAGTAATAAAATTACATTTTCCTGGAACCATGATAAGACATTTACTTTGTAGATAAAGAGATTTCTAGCTAACTCTTATCTTTTCAAATAAATTCGGAATCAGTGAGATATTTTTTTAAATTGTAGTGACTTTATATGATTACTATGTTGCTATATTTTTTTCAGTCATTGGTACAAAGTTTGGGGGAAATTTAGAGTTGCTGCTTTGACGAAAAGTGCGCTGACTGACAGGCATCCTGCCTGTTTTTATATGTGTATTGCAATTGAAGATGCAACGACAGTGACGTATTCCATATTACTCGTGCTTCCAAGTAAGCAGTAAGACGTGACTAATAACTGTATTAATACATTGTAAATAAAATTTTGATTTGAAGCAATTATATATCATGTACCGGCAAATGATGAAAGTATGTATAAAAGTAAAAATAATAACACTATAGAATGTGACCATCACTGTTATCTTGCTAACCTATGATCGTTTATCGCATGCACTGACGAAAGTCATACGAATAGTGTTTGTGCTTCGAGTTTTAATATAAAAGAATGAATATCTTCTTCTAAGTATCGAACATAAAATATTTAAGGATTAGAAGAACGTAATAGTACTGTGACAGATGGTTTTTTTATAAAATGTCACAAACATAACCTTACATTTCGACGAAAATATGATATTACTTATAGGAAGTGTCTCGTAGAAAACAGCATTCATATAATTCATATAAGGTGACTGTTGAAATAATGTATTGTATACGCTTTAATGGATAAATACTTATTCGACATAAGGGAACAGTAAATGGAAAAGAAAATGTGCGACAAGTATGTCATTGGTTATTGGCTGTCCGAGAAAAAGCGGCAGAAGTTTAATTGGAATCATTTTTATAATCTCTGTGAATCCGAAGGGTTTCAGTTAAAAATGGTAAATATTATTTACAGATATTTTATTACTATTAAGCAATCATGATCTATAAATCACTGTATCGTATAAGGTTATGTATTCATGTCTGTACTTAGTTCTATAAAATATTAACTTGCATTTACCTAATGATGAATTTTGAAACTGGTGTATTGATTTCAGATTGATGTGAACTCTGATCTTGAATCTCAGGGACCATTTCATGTTTTTATACATAAACTGACACATAAACTAGCGCATGCAGAAAATGGTGATCAAAATGTATGATAAAATTCTTTGTACTTCTTCTAGTTAGAACTGTTGTAACAATTTCTTTCTGTTATAGGCCAAAGCAATTATTTCAAAAATTGAAGAATACTTCTGTCAGCATCCCAAAATAATAGTTATTGACCCTTTGGACAATATTAAGATTTTAATAAATCGTTATAAATATTATGAACTTATACAAGAGCATGTACAATTCAATGGTAAATTTAAAATCATTTTTCATTAATGAATGGAAGACTCATTAATTAAATTTTATATTGTGCTTACAACTAATTTTGTGCTTTTACTTCCTAGATATATTTACTCCAAAGTTTGTAGAAATTAAAAGTAAAAATACTGTTGAGAATATATCATTGTTGAAAAGGGCAAATATTAAGTTTCCAGTAATCTGCAAACCACTTATCGCTCAGGGTTCTAGCGATGCGCATAAAGTGAGTATAAAACAAGTAAAGTTCTTCCTGTAGAAATATTTTGGTTATACAAAATATTTACAATCAATTTTTATTTTCAGATGATGGTAATTTTCAATGAGGAGGGTTTGAACGATTGTCAACCACCTTGTGTGGCACAAGAGTTCATCAACCACAATGCTATTGTTTACAAAATATACATAGTCCATGAACACTTTCATGTAGATGAGAGACCCAGTTTCAAGAATTTTTATGAAGAAGACTGTACTTCGTTGAACACAATATTTTTCAACTCACTTAATATATTTAAGAGTGGTTCTAAATCCAAATGGTCGATTTTGTCGGAAGAAAACATTCCATTAACGGTAAAACCAAAACAAGAGACGTTCGAAAAGATCGTAAAAAAAATTGGAGAACTTTTTGGACTCCTTTTGATTGGCGTTGATGTTGTTATTGAAAATCATACTGGAAGATATGCAATTATAGATGCAAACGTATTCCCTGGATATGTCGGTTATCCAAACTTCTTTGAGCAGTTGATAGGATGTATTAGACAATTGTTAGATGAACAAACAGATGCACAACAAAATTCTAAAAGCTACTCTTTAAAAAAGTGTTTAAGCGATGATTTAGATTCTGGTTTCGAAAGTGACGAAAAAAAAAAGTATTCTACAAAAACAGCTAAATAATTATAACAGACAACAGGTAAATTAAGAGGAACGGATAACTATCAAATTGATATCCCAGTTCGCTACATTGTAACAAGTACAAAGAAGTATTATTTGAAAACAATTTTTTACAGTAAAACACGATTTGTTCATATATTCAAAGACGGCATTTTGAATTGTTGCATCAGATCTCATTTCGTAGTCAAAAATATTTATTTCTCTTGTAGATTTTTCATTTATTTTTTTACTTCCTTGTACAGTTTTCAAAAGAAAAGTAATTCGTTCATTGTTCACATTGAATCTCTTAAATAAATTAATTTGTGTAGTCATAAATACATATAGCGCAAACTATCGAAAAAAGTACTTTCAACTTATATAGTGTGTTTACAATGATGAACAGAAACTTCCAGAATTAACATTTGAAGATTAAATTTGCATTGATAGCAACGAAACATAAAAAGAAAATACATAGTAAGAAAACTGTTGAACATTATAACAGTTTATATTTTACTTAACCAATTTTTATTTGAAATGTATTGCAGGTGATTCGTTTCATTACTGATATGTAAAAGTTCCAAGTACAAATATTATGTATAACAAAACAACAAATACAGTGTCATAAATGCTGGTCGTACTATGAAGTTTTCTAAATATAAATTTTTTTTTAAAGTTTAAGGTGTGTTCATTTATTCATATAAAAAGAAAATATGAATTTATTTACAGGCGTATTACATAATTTTTACACTAAAATGTACAGTTAAGTTCTAACTGTTGGTTTCTGAATGAGAAGTACTCATGCTTTCACTGATTTCTTTTTGCTTCATCCAGGCCTTAGCAGATGCCAGGAATTTAAGATTAGGCCTCTGAGACTCGTCTTCTGGAAAAACGAAGTCGAACACTTCTTCCCATCCATCGTCACTCTACAAATGAAAAGAAATATCAGTTAGTCGGTTAGTTTCTTCATTTGAAAAATGTAGTAAAAAAATTGTAAATTTATTTACCCCGTCTTCTCCCACAATACGTCGTCTACGTTTAATTCTTCGGGGCATTTTCTCCATAATTTTACCACGAGTTTCATCATCTCCTTTCTCATTTTCAAAATCTCTCCATGCTTCCAAAAGTAATGCTCTACTTTCTTTGTCTCCGTTTGATCTAAGAGCGTCGTTTCCACGTTCAAAAATTCTTCTTGCCAGAACAACATTATCTACATCATCTTCTGCTGATGAATTCGCTAATTCAAATTTAGCATATGCAATCCAAACCTAAACAATATGTCACATTAGACGATGAAATGGAAAAATATTACACAGTTACAAAATTTAAATTTGAGCATTATGACAGAATTGTGTATCACTCACTTTAACGTGAAGCGTCCGTTCTAGTAATCTTTCGAATAATTGTCTCGCGTTTTCTGTTTCGTCTTGTGCTATTTCAAAATCAATATAGGACTTCCATAAAAGTTCTGGCATATCCAATCTATATATTGAAAATAAGAATGTGTAAATATAACGGAAGCTATAATTTGAACACTAGCTAGCTATTTTTAAACACGTTACCTTGGTTGTGATATAGCTAATTCATAAATGGCTCGTGCACGTTCCACATCGCCTAGAAGTGTCTCCAATTCTGCAAACTGTAAACAAAATTTGGCGTATAATTTATAATTTAAAGCATTGTCTTAGAAATAAATAGTTTAGCATTACATACTTTCATCCATGTGGTACAGTTTTCCGGACCAAATTCGAGGAACTTTTCATACAAAATCCTACACCTATCAAATTCTCTTAATTGAATTTCCAAATCGATATATCCACGATACAATTTATCTCTAGGACAAACACCTAGTGCCATACCCTAGAATAATTAAAAAAAAATTTGTATACTGTATTCAATCGTATTAATTGTATAAAATGAAATACTATGCACAGAGTTAATTTTTTAATTAAATATGTACCAATGTTTTCCTTGCAGCTGGTAAATTTTTTTGTCTTATTTCAAAATATGCATAAAGCAACCAAATTTTAGAAAAAGTGAAGTGTTTATGTGGAATCAGCTCTAAGCATGCCCTGAAAAATCATTAGAGTATAAATGACTGTCATCATTTTAAAAGAACTATATCAATTACCTATAAACCTGTCTGCATCTTTCTATGTCCTCAGTATCGAGTTCTTCAAAAAGAGCATAATTTATCCAAAGATAGATATATCTTCTCCAGAACTGTTTTTCCTGTATGATTCAAGAATATATTAAACCTATGTCATCCATAATAATATGAAATATAAAAATCACGTAACATTTTATGTCTTACTTTAGTTGGAGGTACATTAGCTATGGCACGTTCGTAAGTTTCTCGGATTACATCTACATTTCCTTCAGATTCTACTAATCTCAAATAATCGAACCAAGCATCGTAATTGGAAGGATTTTCTTTTACTTCTTGTTCATATTGATATTTTCTTTTGCTTACTATTACATCCTCAATGCCTATAAATAGTAGAACAAGAAAGTTATTCAATATCTTAAATATTGTTTACAAAATTTTATTAATGTGACAAAACATCATACCTGAACGATCTCCATATTTCTTTTCATGTATGGTATATGCCTTATAAATTTCTTGTGTTTTCTCTTTCGGAATATGATCCAACGCATATTTATAAATGACCCTAGCCCGATCATGCTATAACAGAATATTTTTAAAATAACTAATGTATCAAGAGAGATAAAATTATTTTATTTTATATATATTTACCTCTCTTTGGCCTTCTTCAAATTTTGCAAACGCAATAAACAATTTTTCATCTAAACTTTCATCCCCATAGAAGTTAATAGCCCTTTCATAAACACTACGAGCTCCGTTTATAAATCCATGGGATTCCTCAAATCGTGCATATTTTATCCAGTGTTTAACATCAGGGTGAACCATTACAAATGTTTCATAAATCTGTCTAGCTCTTTGTATTTCTTTATACCTCAATTCAAATTTAATGTACGTTTGCCAAGCTTGCTCATCTGGTTCCCATTCCATCCATCTTTCAAATACTTGACGTGCTCCTAAACAAATTTTGTTCTCATTGTTAATAAGTTATTACTAGTATGTTACTTTAAAGTATGAATCGAAATTAAAATTTTACCAGCAATATTTTCTAACATTTCTTCCATATAAGTATATTTATACCAAAATTGATTTGCTCTAGGCAATATAGTAACTGCACGGTCCCATAAATTTCTGGCATGATTCACTTGACGGTTTCTCATTTCCATTTCTGTATATTTCAGCCATAATGTAATATTTCTATGATCAACATCCAATGCTCGCTCATATATTGATCTAAAATTTAAATGTATATTTTGTTATAAGGCACATAATGCTTATCACAAGTTTCTACTTGAATATAAAAATCAATTAAAAATCATACCTTGCTCTTTGTATTTGTTTTTGACTTTCTTCCCACTGAGCATATTTTATCCAATTTGAAATTACCATACGATTCTTGCGAATGTTATCTTCAAAAGCTTTACGTTTCCGATGTTGATAATCAGCTAATTCATGAGGATCAGAAATTTTTTGTTTCGGTGGCTGTGAACAAATAATATAGTCAAATATTATAATTACAAATATTATGAATAACTTTGTAATGTATTTTTCATTACTATGTTTTAACATTCTTACCGGAGGTAAAATCTCAAGATCTCTTTCTTTAGCCTCTCTCAAAAGCTGCTCTGCTGTTATTTGAATTTCAGCAGGTGCTTTATTCTTAACCTATAAGAATATTAATAATTTTAAGTCACAAAATAATTTGTTTTCATACAATGAGATACATGCTTTCTATACATAGTTAAAATGGAAAACATAAATACCTTCGCAACTTTTGGCATTTTCTGAGATTTCTCCATGATGTATATGTTAATTAAACTTCTTCAAATATGTAAGGTGACACAAAGAATACAATAAATAAATTAAATTATTTAACTGAAACACTGTTGTTTGTAAATTTTCTGTATTATAAATTTCAGCATGTTCTACTGTGCAGTAATTGGTGGTTTTAATAAATTACCACTATCTGAAAATAATCACAATAATTGTTTATTATCATTATTTTATGCTATATATAAATAAATCCTTTATAATGTTAGCATACAATTTTACCTAACAATAAACAGAAGTAGACAGGTTAGGTTACTCTAACCTATATACCGTTTATAACACAATATTTAGTTCCTTATAGTTACTTCACGACAATTACTCATTGTATTTCATTGGCAACTGCATTTTCAATGTGTTTTATTATAGATTCCATGCAATCTTACCACCATTGTTCAGAAAATCACTTTGAAACTGCTGCGTGATTTATACATAAAACTTAATGACTTATGATCGCATATTATCCACTACACTTCACTTTTTCAATCGAAAATATTATTATAATTCCAAATTATGTTTTCTTCAAATGTGAAGAATAATAAATTCGTTCGTATGAAATTCTCTTCAGTGACTTTTACACAGCAGGATTGCTGGCGTTGTAATATCGTTACACGCGCGAATCTTATATTTTTTTGAACGAGTTGCGCACAATGCTGAAAATGTACAGTACATAAATTTATTGTCTTTCTATTATAAATGTGAATTCATATCAGATGAACAGAGTTCAAAGCTGATGAAGAAGGTTTGAAATGAATATGAGACCAAGGAGACACGAAATTCGTTGGTCGACAGAAGTGAATCTCGTTAGAGTGAAAACAGGCGCGTGACTGGTTTGATAGTGACGTTTGTAGATTCGTGACGTTTGCACAGGGAATGTTTAGTTGCAAACAGAAAATTGTCGGAATAACATCGCTCGAGTGACTTAAATGTAATGTATCCTGAAGTTGCCTTAAAATTAGTGACCGAAGGACAGTAAATAAAAAGATTGCGACAAGTTATGTAAAAATTTTCTTTCACGTGGGCCGTACGAAGCAACTGTGTATGAACGCATCGAAGCAAGAGAAAGATAGAAATAGCAAGTAAGAAGGAGAGGTTAATTCGTGCACAGAAAAGAGCCAGAGAAAGAAAGCGAAACATAGTGGAAAAGAGAGGGCAGTCAGTGCCGAAGCTTTATCTTTATTATGCGCCGCTGAGTGAATTGTCAAGTGAAATCAGAAATGGCTGCCAACGAGCAACAACGCAAGGTGAGTAGGGAGAAATACATTGTATTTTTCTCGAATTCTGAAGAACTGTTCGATACGTTCCGTTAAACGTTGGATCCGTTGTATCGTCGGGAAGCAAGTTTTTTCGTCGGAACAATTGAACGCGTGATTCGTTCGTGACGATTTTTAGTGAAAAAACGGGATTCGTGCAATATCTTGAGACTAGTCATACTAAAAGAAACAACGACGTCCAGGCTTCAGTTCTACGTTGATAAATATTTGACAGTAATAGGGGCCAAAGAATGAACCATACGAAAAATTACTCGAGTCTCGCGCAGACAGAAATTTTTTAAAGAGACGTGCCACTTCATTCAAATATTTGTCAGATCATCGATGCATAGGGAGACATATAGATTGCTGTGTGCAGTATTTACATTCGTACAAGCAGCTGTCAGTAGACGTTCGGGAAGGTGTCATAAAATCCTGCAAAAAATATGCGATGCATGATTCCCCTTGACGTTCGCTTCGCGCAAAATGTTCAATAACTTTTGTCAAAATTATTGAAAGTTTGTACGAAATTCGAGGAGCGATCGTGCGATCTAGCCAGTCAACGTACAATAGCTTTAACGAAAGCTGCGACGTATGACAGACGATGTACCCTCTAACAATTTTGATAATGCTTCCTCCATCATTTTTCCCCGTTGATTTCTAATGCGATCGTTTTGTTCGTGAAATAAATTGAGATCTACAAAAAAAAATCCAACGGATATTTAAAATAATTTGGACTTTGTGCGCTCGAACTAATTAGACACAACACGAAAATTAACATATGCCTTCTGTGACGACAGATATCTGTGTGTGCCTTTTTTCCTTCGACGAGATCGAGCAAGTTGCTCGTACTAATTTTTAATTGGTATCGTGTCGTTGACGATTGGTATCGTACGATACGTATTTTGAGAATACTGGGAGTGCAGCATTCTTTTGACATTGAATTTTACCAAATCGAGCGTTTGTAAATCGTCCTTCTCGTTGTACCATAAATAGACATGATTTTCGACGAATTTATCGTAGAAATAGTTTCCTTTTTTTCTGGAAAAATCATTTCTGCGTTCTTGTAGAACGTCACAGTATATTTAAATACCATTATTTCTCCGTCAATTTGTAGATGATGCTGCAATTTACATTTGATTTCATAATACTGCACGGAATATAAATTAATGCATTTTCTACACTTTGTATTTCGCAATAAAGTTCACTTATCAGGAAGGTAAAAATATTGAATGATAAGAATGTACAACGAAAAGTCCGTTCTTCGACCGAAACTAATATTGTTCTTTTATTTTGTCGTTATGTGTGTATGTATATGAAAATTACATATGTATAGCGATCGTCGTCATGTTCGTGCGTTGATTCACGTTTACATTTCTCGATTACTTGAATAACATTTAATTAAAGCATGGAGGTGAATAGAACGACAGTTAGACCGATAGATATTTAAAAAACTTATATCGTTTTATTACGCCCATTGTAACACTGATTAGCAAAGAAGTTGTGTGGTAGATTATTTATTTTCATCAAATTAATACATTTCATAAATAACAGTAAAATGTGTGCACATATGTTTTTTTTATTTTAATGTATTCAAAGAAATAAAATTTCAAAAAACAAATAATAATATATTATTAAAAATATTAACTTAGTCATAATTGATAAAATCCTTTGTCATGACAATATGAATGAAATAAAAAAATTGATAAAAGATTCTAGTGTAGCTTCTAAGCAAGTGTATATAGTTATTGATAACATTAGTTCACTGCAGTAAGTTTTTTTTAAATCGTATCTGATATAAGTAATAGGTTTTAATGGATTATCATTACATATTGAACATTCATGTAAGCATATGTGACCTTAGAGACTGCCAAGGTATGTGATTTTAAGGCTTCACAACTGCTATAACATGAGTGCATATTGTTGTGATATAAAGATTACAAATACATATTTTATGTGTTATTATTTAATTTGAAATCATTTTTCATACACAATAAAATAATACACATAAATTAGATGATACATATATATGTATATCAGTTTTAGATAAACAATAATATTATTCATATTTATTGATGTTTTGATATTTTAAGATTTCACAAAAATTATATTTTTTATTATTTAATTTAAATACTTCTATTGTTCAATTCTTAAATATTTTTATTGTTTAATTTTTCTACTAACATATAATAAAATTAAATTAAAAATTAGGAACCACGAGAGATAAGAGAACCAGCCCACCATGCAAGGAGACCTATGAATGCATTTCTTATTTTTTGTAAACGACATCGTGGTTCAGTGCGGTCTGGTTTCCCACATTTAGAAAATCGAGCAGTCACAAGAGTTCTTGGTGAATGGTGGGCCACTCTTCAACCAGATCAAAAACGTTCATATACAAATTTAGCACAGGAGGTAAGTTATAATTTATACAATGAAATTTCATGAAAATATCTGTTATTTAAATTTTGCATAAATTTTCATTCAAAGTTGAATATATTTTGTACAGCTTACATGACATCTAAAATCTAATTCGAAGAAAATAATTTTAGTTTAATTATCTTTCAGTACAAAGATGCATTCTTGAATGCAAATCCTGATTTTAAATGGTACAAATTACCAGCACCTCCTCTACGTACTTTGAGTACTAGGCCTACAAATAAAAAGGCAGAAACAAGTTCTAATGAACAACCTATAGAAAATGTCAAATCCGAGAATGAGTCTTCCGATTATTCAAAAGCTGATAAGCGAGACGGACAATCAATTCAACCAGGTAAATTAGCAGATGAATCCCAAATTGGTGGCCTCAGTTCACTGTTTACACCTCAGAAAATGCAAATAATCGATGAGCAGGCGACTATTAATGGTTCTGTGATTGAAAATGATAATGAAGTTCCAAAACCCCCTAAAAAGAAATATATAGATACATCTTTTTTACCTGATCATAAAAGAGAATGCAAAGCTGATCTTTTTGATGCGAAAAAGAGAAGACTTTCAGAATCAAACAATAATGAACACCAATATGTAAGAATTTTTATTTTTTATATATATAGTTTTCCAAGTGAAATAGCTATTGTATTTACTGAGATTACTGACATTTTAGGATACAGAAGAAGAGAAAATGGACATAAATAATTTTATAGCAACTAATATGCCTTCAGAAGAAACTAATTTTAGAAGTGAGAGAACATGCAAAGGTTTACGCTATCAAAAGTTCCTTGCAGAGCAAATGAAAAATATTGGTGTATCTGGGCAACAACCTAAACGAAAACGTCACCCTGGAAATCGTAGGTAAATATTTCATCAACTTTTTATCTAAAGTAAAAGACTGCTGCAATATTCGTATTATAAATTGTCTTGATAAATACTTTTGCTAGCACGGATGGACAAATGAATGAACGAAGAAATTCTATTTCATCGAATGTCAGTGAAAAAACAGATTCTTTGAGTAGCGAAGGTGGAAATAGTTCCCGTGGAGAATTGGAACATCTTGTAGAAAGGTAAATGAATTTTTTAAATTATATTTAATACTTTCTATATATAAACATATTTATAAATAAAAATAATGCGAATCTTAATTAAAGTGCTGAAGGAAATATTGAAGCTTCAAAGCCAGAGGAAACGGAAACTGAAGGTACAGAAGGAGAATTAGACTTTGGACCATGGACAGCACGTAAAAGATTCAGAGCTGAGTAAGTTTAATTGTCATGTGCGTTTAAAGATATTTTACAATAAAATGATGTGTGTGGTGAATATACATTATTTTTATGTGATATTTTCTTGTGTAGGGATTTTAATTTAGAAAAGAAAATTGAAGCGTTACCATCCTTAAGTTTAGAAGAATTTCAGGAAAAGAAGAAACAACAGCGTACGAAAAAGAAAAAAATAGTACAGAAACTAACATCAACTTCGAATAACAAGAAACAGCAAAATAATAGTAACGCTAATGGTCAAACAAACGATCCAAATAACCAAATAGAACGTGAAACCACAGAGGAAGTTGAGAAAGCGCTTCTTGTTGGAAGTAAGAAGAGGAAAGCACGGAAACAGAGTATTACACGTAATGCAGCCGCTACAAGTGATTCCACACAAATTGAAACAGAAGAATCTAATAAATGTAAGTATAGATAAGTAATAGTATCATGTTTATTTTTATAATTTCATATTGCCTAAAATAATACTCTATACGTTATATGAGACACTTCAAATGATAAATAACATTTTATATTATTTGCATGCCTATTATAACAATATAAATTTATTATTTTTATTTATTTTTATTGATATTTACAGTTGTATAGATCATAAGTAATTTTAATTCTAATAAGGTTAAAATTTATTATATGTTTAGTTCATTTCCACAATATTATATTTTACACATTATAAATAGTCTTTAATCAACTATTTTTTAATAATTTTAATTATTTATATAAATATTAATAGCGTGGTGTGCGTCGCCGGATTTGGAAGCACTGGCATGCCTCGCAACAGTTGCCGCCAACAGAACGAAACTTACCAAAACTAATACATAAGATATATTTTTTGATGTTTAGCGGTTGTTTGTGATGCGAACTTGCACTGTGCAAAGCCAAAACCATATCTGTTTATTTCTTTAATATATAATTTTCTACTAGCAGAATTATTGAAATAATTGCTTTCGATTGCTATTGAAACTTAAATAATGTTTCCAACTGATCGAAACTGTATCACATTACTACTGTTAATATCCACGTCGTTAACTGCTGTTAATATAAATATTAATATTGTGACCGTTGCAAAATGATTTCGCAGCATAACATATATAAAGATATTTCTTTTAATGTTACATAAATATCTTGCGAACATGGTCACTGATAGACAGTTTCTTTTTTTATGTATAGTTTGTTAACGAATAATGTTGTTACTATTACATACTGAAGGAAGATTCTAGTTTTCATTTTGCGTTGCGTGTAATTATTAAAATATTGCGTCACACATTTCTATACTTGTTAATGAACACCTGCAGTGCAGATGAATGATAGCCATTATATATAATTTAAAAAAAATAATGCCCGTGTATCGATGTTCGTGGGGAAATTTGTGCAACTTCCAACAAAAAAAAGAAACAGATAATAATATTTTCTCATATAACTTGAATATATAAAATTATTAATGAACGAAGAGAGAAAAAGTATACACTAACAATAAGAGGGTATTAGTCACTATCCACCACATAAAATGATGTTGGAAAGATCGAATCTTGCACACTAATTTTTTTAACTACAATATAGAATAAATACAATTGAAAGGAAACAGTAATAGAGCCGTGAATCTTAAATGAAGCCGATGAACAGGGCATTTTATCATATCTATGTGTAGCAATGATAACACGTAATAATTGCAAAGTCACTTGTTATTATTTTTGTTATTATCATCGGCATAAGTTTAATCTGTATTTTCATTATGTTCTATAAACTTTTTATGTACATAGAAATAGGTGCAGTATTATGAAAGATATCCTTCATGATCTGAATATCAAAAAAGGATATAATCAAAAATATACATGTATAAATATATATGTATTATATATTTATACACATACGCAAGACCACTATTTATACGTTGTACATGCGTACATATAGACATACGTAATAATGTAATTTACGGGAAAGTATAGAAAAAATGTAAATTTTATTGTTAGTAAGTGTTTCGTGTAACAGAAAAGTATATGTGTATATGTACGCATGTAATTTGATAAGACTACATATATATATATATATATAAATGTATATTTATAATATTTATATCGACTACTATTATTTTAGTATTAAGACCATGAAATTGCGATTCTGTGCTCTGTTTGAGAAAGTAAGGGACTCGTCTGTGATTTTGGCTAAAGGAGTTTTTAATATTTTATATTTTTCTATTGATTTTTTCTCCCTCCTTTTCTTTCTCACCTCTTTACGTTCATTGAAGTTTAACTCCAGACACTATTAGTAAAACGATAGGAGCAACTAATGTTAGTAAATTCCTCTGTAATATGGAAATGAGTATACTGATTATATTTCAAATGTGCCTTGAAGAGATTTGAACATAGATATTAATCAATGACCAACAATATATTTTCGATTCATTTCGGTATTCTAACTGTTTTCTGACATTTACACTTATACCTTCTACATTTTCTAAGTGTGGTTACGGTACATAATTATAGTGGGGCTTCATGGCCAACGTCCGAATACGTGGAATTATTGAAAAAAATATCAAGGGAAAGTGTTTCGAATTTTACTGCACAAACATCTATGTACCTAGCTTTAAAAATATAATTTACACGAACATATATATTATATATGTATGTATATATATATACATACACTTCATACATATATGTATATGTATATATACTTGTAACATATTGTATACCATTTATATTAATAATAAAGATATAATATTTTGATGTAATTTTGAAGTTATTTGCAATTTGATATGCATAAAATAATCTGACAAAAACATAGTGAAGATAACATAAAAAGTATTTATAAATTTATTAAATTAAATATTTTCATATAAATGTAAAATTATATCATTTGTTACATTTTTATGAGTAATTCGGTTTAACAAACGTTCGCAGTACATGTGATAATAAATAATTTTTAATAACAACCGATTTATTAAATTTTGCTATTAATAAAAGTAGCTACGCATATTTATAGTACTTGCATCATTTTCTAAAAATATATTATGATGTATATATTCTTGCACACTAGATGTGTACATTTCTTTTTAATCTTTCATATGATTTTAAATATTAAGAATGATGTAAACATTTCACAATATATTGTGAAATTGTTTTCCTCCTCATCTATATTAATAAATTGTTAAATATTATTTTATCTGTACGAATAAAATTAATAAATAATACTATATATATAGTATATATATAGTATATACATGTATTGTACAACAAATCAATTTCTCTTACAATGTATATTATAAAAATATAATAAACTTAAAAAGCGCATAAATTTTTATTTAATATCAAACTGTTTAATAGCACTTTATTTTCTTTTATATTGTTTTATTGTTAATTATTGTTACATTTTAGCTATACTCGGCAGTTAAAAACTTGGTCAAATTATTACAGATGTACAAAAGACACTATCATTGCATTCTGTTTTGGTATTTATAAAATGCATATCTATATATCATGGCCGTTACATTTTTATTAATTACAAATCTAAATATAACTACATAGGTATGTTCCTTAGTTCTGTGATGCATACATGAGTCAACTTTTTCAGTAATGCAGTATCATCAGTGTCAATGCTATTTAAAGAGATTATAACTACATCCCTTTTCACTCTTCCCTCATTCAATTAGAGCTCCTAAGCGGGATTACTTAAATAAATAACCACAAACTTAAAATTGTGGTAAATCATAGACTCAACATCTGTACAGATGTCCCGTACAATTGAATTTTTAAGAAAACAGACACAGATATTCAAGACTGATTCTCATGCAAAATGATCAGCTGAAGAATGATTGAATCAGTGTTAGAAGTATAAACAATATATAAGAACTGATTTAATATATTTATAAAAAAATTACAGATTTAGGCTTGTTAGTACAATTCGAATTATCTATAATATAGCTGCTATATACTTCATTCCTGCTAGTATGTTTAAATAATTTGATACCTCAAATAATAAAACGAATATCATACCACAGACAGGGTATAGTATAGACATAGCATACAATGTAAAATTTTGTCACACTCTCTCAGGGGTCTCAGGACTCTCTTACCATTTTCGTGTCACACCCTGTCATATCGACGTAGACTAGTTTTATATGGCAACGCTATAAGTGATAGGAATTAGAATCAAAAATATTTAAACGCAAATTTAAAATACGCACAAATCTTACAACTTATGGGAATTCTTGTTCAGGGCTTCCGGGATTTTAAAACCTCCGTACCATTTCGGTGTCGCGCTCGACGTTAACGATATTACAAGATTTTAGGCTTATTAACAGGAATCGGATTAGTATATCGGTATACTTCATTTTTGTTACGAGTGTGTCATATGATTTAGCGGCAACAAATGTAGCTACGTAATTATTTAATGGAATAATAAATTTGTAAATGGAATAATAAATTAATTAATGTAATAATAAACTCATATTTTGATTTTAGTTACTACTCTTCCTATCAGGAAACCGCTCTAACAGCTAATCAGTTTAGAGGGCAAGGGGTGACGTCTACTAATCGCACTCGTCCCGATTGTTATCGCGGCTCAGTTTCGGTACGTCTTTGTTACTGGCCGATTCGCGAGACGAAAAAAGCAGACGACCAATAACAAAGACGTGCCAAAACTAGCCGTCATAACAGTCGGGCAGAGCGCGGTGAGCTATCCGAGTGCGTTCTGGGAAGAGGCGAACTATACAAATCTAATTCTCCAAATTCAACATCAATGTGACTTTTAGAGCCGACAACATTGTAAAAATTGATCTCCTAAGCACATACTATCCATGTTGCAGTCTTATATAGTTCAGCAGTTGATCGTTCGGTGCAGGTAGAGGCCACTAGTGCATTGTGGCATTTTTGATGGTATCGGTATTTCAGAACAGTAGACAGATAAATACATTGTACGATCTGTACGTAATTGAAGTTTATAACGTTCGTATGTTGGTTTACCATATTTACTACTTGGTCCACTTCGATCATTTCACTCGATGTAGTTTTTCTATTCACCGTTTTCTAGGCGTAGTGGGCAGAGCGAAATCTCTGATTTTTTTACACAGTCGGTAATTCAAAACATGTGATACTGTGTCCCATAAGTTATCTATCATTGCAATATCTATCCTTATGTTTACTTTGTCTGTGATAATACATATATTATTTGTCTAATATTTTAAATTAGTCTTCTAATACTATGCAAGTTTATTTTTGCATTCGAGTTTATTGGCCGTATTATTTAGATAGAATTTACTAGTGCGTTAGGGCATTTTTAATGGTGCCAGTATTTGGAATAGTAAATAGAAAATAACGTTACACACAGCATTTGTATAGATCTTAAGTTTGAAGTTTTATTAGCAATTTGAATTGAAGCATTGATATGTATTCCAATATTCTGATGGTAATACTGTTTAATACGAAAATAGTGAACATTAAGTATTTTGTCTGTTCGTATTAAATGTTTATATTAATATTAAAAGATTTAAAAAACCATAATGAGTATTTGATTATTTATAATTCAATGAGTGCCTTTGTCAGAGTCGCTTTTGTCGCAACAATCAAAATTGATATAGAAGTTACACACCTTGAAGTTTGAAATCTATGCATCGTGATTAAACTGACTTGACAACTACTTATGAGCGTTTGTGTGTATCCATGTAGTTATATCGTTGTGCGTACTGTTTATATCGTGCTGTGACGGTAGTGATAGCTACGTCAAATTACGTGTCTTGCTTGTCCTACAGAGTCAAAGTAGCTTTGTTTGATTTTTTAACCGTTACAATCTCATATCGGTTTTCTGGAAAACAACTAACGATATTTCAGGATGGGTGTAATTTTCTTGGAACACATTGGAGGTACTCGCCTGTTTTCTTGTGCTTCGTGTGACACCAATCTTACAAACAGAGCTCAGCTGATAAGCACGCGTTTTACGGGCGCTACAGGCCGTGCTTTTCTCTTTAACAAAGTGGTCAACTTAAATTACAGGTATTCACATTTTTCTTTACTTTTTTTTCGAAAATAAATATATATTAATCGATTCAATACGTCATACTGCATCATTACGTTTCGAACGTTCTCACAGTTGACAGACAAAAACAGTTGTGTGAGATGGAATATATTATTGTTTCCATGCACCTAAGAAAATGGAGCTTATCTACATTGGGAATATAGTTTGGAAATAAAAATTTCTGTGACTGTGTACGAAAACTATAATTATTAAATTTTTATTCTCTTTTTTTTTCTTTTAATTAAATATAAATACGTAATATGATATTGTTTTTTTATTTTGAAACATTTTAGTGAGTCTGAGTGTATAATTGCAGTAAAATTATTTGCGAGAGAAAATAATTTTCTTTCTTTTCTTAACAGTATATTGTTATCTTTATCATCCATGCTTTCTTAGGTTCATGATTTTTTTTTTATTGATGCGTGTATTTAGATTTCTAGCACTATTTAGCACACAGGATACCATTGTTAAATGTACAAAATCTCAGAGACATTGTACTAATGGAATAATCTTATGAAATTGTTGCATATTCATAATTTAATTCATCTACAATGATGTACAGCGAGGTACAGGATAGAGTGATGCTGACGGGTCGTCACATGGTCAGAGATGTCAGCTGCAAAAACTGTGCCGCTAAGCTTGGGTGGGTGTATGAATTTGCGACAGACGATAATCAACGATACAAAGAAGGCCGTGTCATCCTGGAGCGGGCTTTAGTCACTGAAACTGATGGAATGGGCGATAATATTTACTTCCCTACAAATAACAGGTCTTAGTATAAAAAATATATATCATAGTCAACATATAAGAAGTTGTTCTCTTTTTTGTGTTCCTTCATTATTTGGAATGATTTTAAAAACATATTCACCGAATGTACAATTTATACTCGCTACTCAACGTTTTTGTAACCATAAAACAAACACTGTCCTATAATATTTCATGTTACTAATAATATTTTTTTTTAATTTATTTCTCACTTAACACGTGTATCATGATAAATCTAATTGGAAATAAAGATTATGTGTACTTTATATTAGTAGTTTGAATATAGATACCGAGTAGACAAGAATCGATGGCATTAAATAAACCAGTTACAAAATAATGCGTGTTTTTGATTGGAATAATTAATTCCACTACAAGTATCTAATTGTGAACTCTTTTTATTATTAACCTACATAAATATGTTCTGTAACACAATAATAAGTATCTTCAATTTGTGCTTATTTTGAAATAAATGTTATATAAAACATCAAATTGTACTACTTTTTACATATATCTTTTCTCTTGTCGATTGTAACAAATATTTTAATTGAAGCAATACATGAAAACAAAAGATTATAAATTAAAAATCAACGTGACACGTATTCAATTAAATATTTTGAATTCGCGCTGAAAAAATTTAAGTTAAAATGATCGACATATTCGAGACACAAATGAACCGCGCCCCAAACTATCACACGATTGGTTGGTACCATTCAAGCGAGAACCAATAGTAGAACCGAAGTTCTGCAACGAGTCGTGACGGCGAACCAGTGTGGTCACGTAGGCCCACCATACCGCATGGTGGATAGATGTTTCCTTTAACTCAACGTCGTATAAAATGCTATAATTGTGTATTGTTGTTATTTTGCAAGGGACACAACGATCCTGTGGAGCAACCACCTCCAGCCTTGCATACGGTAATTACAACAGCTTGTAGTTACGTTACGTAGCGGTAGCATGTTGACCGATTCAAGCGTACAATTTGTTGTTTGCTGTTCGGCTCAATGGCCGAGTACTGGTCGCACAGTAGCGATATATTCATTTCAGTTTATAGAATAATTCTATCGATCGTCTTAAAATTACCGAAATATCGAGCTCCTCGTTACCGGGTAGCTTTCCTTTTGAAAATGATTAATATTCCTATATAAATGATGAATTTTTTTTCACTCCCTTGTTTTCCTCCCTTCGTTCTTCGTCCTTTCCCCTCTACGGTGTCCCACGCATACAATGATACGCGGCGGCACCGACGAAAGCGGCTCCGACCATTCTATAGAAATTTCAAACAGAATTCTACTAAGAAATGTCCGATTTTATTGCGTGGTGTTTCCTGATTGTTGGAGGAACTTGCAATAGGCCCCGTGATGTTTGTGCCTGTAAAAAGAATCATATCTTATCAATCGCTGTTAAACGTGTAAAGTCTCACACACGGTGCCATTGCACCGCCAAATGGATCGTAACAGGAAAGCTATAAATACACAGGCATCGCGGGGTAAACAAACTTGACCTCAGCGGAATTCTTATCGATGTATCTACAGTCGATGCAGTGTACGCGGACACTTTTGAGGTTATGTCGGTTATCCTAGTTCGTTATTCGTATCTACGAAGTGCGTGAAAATCCAGCTACTTTATACAGCAACAGTAATTATTATTTCGCCAGAAGGAAAGTCAAACGGATCTTGGCGACAGTGATTCGCGAGAGAAAATGGTTTTTACGGAAATATAGAGTACAGCAAGTTATTTTTATTGTTATTGTTATTTTACCCGCCTTAAAATCTTAGCGTCCCATTTTTAACGTTAACGCGGTATATTATTTTTGCAAAAATGATTGATCTGTGACTAGTGTCTTATGCGCAACACACTTTCACTGTTCTAGAAAGTTGATATGTTAATTTATGTTGAATATTAATTCGATAATAACTGCATTAAAGTTAAACAACTTAACATGGGCACGATTTGTTGCTTACATCAATATATAGATTTAAATTATCTAGATTTATGTTTTACATTTGCTGTTTTTAATAAAAATGAACATTCAGGTAAATTTAATTAGATAAATATTTTTAGGTACCATAATATACGGTTTTCGCATTGAATGTAAAATGACGTGAACGTTTTTAATTTACAGTTCATAGTATTACAGTTAGATACATGACATGAAATAGATCTAAATATATTAAGTTTTTTATGTTGGTTTCATTAACAAATTTTTATATGTGAAATTCATTAATTAGTAAATAAAATTGAAAAATAAATACTATTTTTTTTGTAACAGGATATTGGCACATGCCTATTATTGACCAGTCATTGTTGGAATACAAATAAATCGTAATCTAGGCAATACGGTAGAAAGTGGAGCTTTTAATATTTGCTCCTTGACATTATAATACTGATGAAAATGAAGTGGTCACATGGCCCTTTGTTCTGTGAACAAGTAGGTGAACTCACTAGAGTTTTCTCGCAATGGAACGAGTGTGAACAAACTGTGGTTCTCTATGCTCTGCTTCGTCGCATTCCTGCAGTCCAAGCAAGGTTTCTTGCACAAGCGGTGCAGCATTCTTTGCACTCAGTTTCTGAATTAGACTCACAGGAATTAAATGCCAATAATCCAGGTAATATTTTTGTAGCTAACAGGAATATATTAACAATTATGTTTAAAGATATTTACTGACAATATTTCGCAGCATTTATTAATTCCTTACTGTCGGAATCAACAGAAGTTGCTATTAATCAACTTCTAACTCATTTGCCGTTACTAAGGCCTGGGAATGTAGAGTGCAAACAATGCTATTTAGTAGCAATACCAGAATTAGTAAGCCACTGTGTAACCACAGGTCAATACACTGAACAGATTCAACAACTCTTAAGTTATACTTTGATCCATCCAGCTATTACTAGTCAAGATAGACGTTCTTTGACTCAATGGCTTCGTCATCTGGAAGAGCGTATTAGTGGTACACCACCTATACATAGTCTTGAGGAATATACTAATACTACCATTAGGTGAGCTAAGAACCCTGAAAGATTAATTTATATATATTGCGTACAATGATCTTTACACAGTTCCTATTTCCACTTTAGATGGGATAATGCATGGCAGCGAAATTCTAAACAACAAAACGAGCAAACAAACTTATTTGGTACACAACCAGGTACTGCCTTCAATTTGCAATTTCCACCACCTGTAACTCGCCAACGTCGGTCAAATAGTTTAACACCACCAGTTGCTCCGCCCCATCATTTAGAAGTAGTTGATCGCAGTAACAATGTGAATTGTACAACTAGGCACAAACCACGAAGTTTTAGTGTCTCCGGCGACCATACAAGTTAGTTTGATTTAAAATTCCAATAAGAATCACTGAATATAACTTACAATTGTATTTTATTTTGAGCGATTGTAAAAATTTCTAAACAGGCAATCTGATTGGATTAGGCCCGTTAAGTCCTCAAAGCTCTTGTGCAAGTAGCGGTAGTGAAGGACGTTTAGACGAAGCTTCTAATCTCTCACTTGCTAGTGGCATGAGAGGTAGGTGTATTTATGATTTTTCAACATTTATGGCATACTGTTAGTTCATAATTTGTTCCGATGAATTTATAGATGTTCCATCATGGCTTAAAACGTTACGCCTTCATAAATATAGTTATCTATTTGTTACCCTGAGTTATGAAGAAATGCTTCAACTGACAGAAGAACAGTTAGCAGAACAGGGTATGACAAAGGGGGCCAGGCATAAATTAGCCCTTTCCATTGCAAAATTGCAACAGCGCTATACTACGCTTGTAAATTTAGAGAAAGACTTACTGCAGCCAACACGCGATAATACACAGCCAACGTCGTTTTCACAAGGACCAACGGTTCTGGTCAACACCATCGATGAGTTGAAAACAATCTTAGCTACCCCTATGAAACCAAGCCAAGAAAACGATCCCCAAGACATACCTGGGCAATTCACCAAGGTCCTTGGTAAACGTGAGTATAACATTTTTGTTGGCATGATGTTTAAGAAAAAAACAAGTACGACGTGTAAGGAGTAACTAATGTGAAACATGTTTTTAACATAACTGTGTTCGTTTATTTCTTAGTGTGTAGCAGATTGGCATTGGATAGCGTGGATGATGGCATTTTGTGCGCTTGTATTAACATATTAGAAAAAGTATTGCAGCATGATTGCTTTACACCAAACCAGAAGGAAAAGGTACAGCAGTGGCGGAGTAGACTAGGAAATCCACGACCTACTCCGAAGTGAGGAAAATGAAATAATTATTGTATACCACTTACCGAAATATAACTAAAATTCATCGTTACAGCGTTGGTAATTTTTCAATGATTTCAGGTGGCAACACAATTATGGATATAATAACAGAAGATACTGTAACCCACAACAGCACAACAGAAAGCCAAGTTTAAACTTGGGTCACATTCATAATACACATCAACAAAACAATTCTTTTGTGGTTAGCGCTCACAGGAACAGTATATCCACACCATATCTACAAAATAATCAGAACCAAAGTGTAAATCAGAATACCTTACGTTCAGTCCATACGACCGAGAAACGGCCCAGTTTACAAGAATCTAGTTTGCAGGTATATACACTAAATTTGACAATACTATATTTAAAAAAGTATATCATTTTATTAGTTATTTAATTATTCGAACAACATAAATTTGTGTTTTTTCTTTCAATTAATAGAATACAATATGAAGTTAGAATTTTTATGTTATGTTCTTATTTTCTGTATATTCTTAAATGTGTTTAATTTCGTCTGAAAAATAATATTGATATGTTGTACTCCAGCAATTACAAAGAACGTTACAACGCACGTACAGCGCACCGAGGGATCATTTTCTTGGTCAAACTGGGAACAACTCATCCGAAACAACGGAGCCAGAGATTAATTCTCGCCTCGAATCTCTTTGTTTAAGAATGACAGAACAAGCGATCGGTGGCTTCGGTGAGGCCTAACGAATTCTTCGATTCGATGACTGGATCTACGCAGTAAGTCCTGTTTGAAAGAAGGAAATTTTTATGAAGTGATATATAGATGTATGTGTCCGAGCTCCGTTTTTTCAAAGCCGAAGGCAAGACTGACTCCCATAGATCTTGCGATTAAAGAGATCGACAGCGATGATAATGCTGATCGCGCGTATTTGACGCGTACACATTCACGCTTTAATAGCCCTACCAAATGAAAAAAAAAGAAAAAAAAGAAAAATGTCCGACATTTAAAGAGACATTATCGAGGACACTCAATTTACGACGTCTGAACGACTCGTGAGAGTTTAAACAAAAAAAAAATAATATTTTTTATTATACCCGATGCAATTATACTATTTAATGAAACTGACAGAATTTGGCAAGCCAAATGCTATTAGAAAGATAGATTCTTTCCTTGACTATTTGCTGCATCTATATAAATGTATTATATAAAGAATATATATGTATACACATATGATAGAATTTTATGGGAAGCGGATTAAATCGTTTAACGGATTAATATGATACGGAAAAAAAATGGGGGACGAAAAAGGTACACCACATTATTGTGCGATGTTTGCAATATTATTTTTTCGTGTTATCCATTTCGGGAAATGGAATTTCGTCTGATTTTATGCGCCAGGGACACATTATACTAATATAATGTAATTCATTTTAATGAACTGACTGATTTTACTTCTTTTTATCATTATTAGAATTATCTTTATTAATCTGCTCTTATCGCCACCGCCGCTATTGCTATTACCATTATTATTTTCCGCAAGTGTCATCAAAAGCTTTGCCACTTATCATCGTCATCGTCGCCATCGTCATTACTATCCACCATATTATTATTACTAGCAATTATAGTTAATGCCATTATTATTGCTATATACCCCTTATTATCACCGCTGATACTACCATATTTCTTCAACAACCAACTAATACCAATTATTCGTATGCTTTTATGCTGTTACTATTTTTATCCTCTATTGTTATTGCTGCTTCTACTATTACCATTCTATCACTATGCTATCACTATTCCTACTATTCTACTACTAGTAGCGCCACTATTACTATTACAAGTACTGCTATTACTACTATTATACTATCTCCACTATCACTGTATTATTACTGTAACTTTCCCTAGAGTGAAAGCATACTTAAAAGGAAGAAAAAAAAATGGAAAATTTTGACAGTTCGTTATGTGCATTAAAAAGGGGGATAAGAAAATCATTGTAACACGGGAATGTACATGTTTTTAAAATTCGTCTTTGCTGGCCCAAGAAGAAAACGTAAACGACGTGTACGCTTTGTTGTTTGCGCACAGATCTCGGAATTTTTTTTACACGCACTCGTACGCGAGAGTTACCATGTGTCTCTTCTTTCGGAAACGAAGTTAGGCTGTAACGAGAGGGAAAGAACGAAAAGGGACATGAGCAGAAAAAAAGGCGAAGGGTTTATACAATAAACGGATTTTAAAGGCCTTAAAGGATGTATTAAGCGAACGTAAAAAAAAGGGTATAAGACTAAATATTATACGTAGTGACGTTGAAGGAGCGATGGGGACGCGTCGTTTAATTGCATCATGGCTACGTGATGCAACATCGAAATCTGTGGCTTTAAATTATAAGCATACATCATTTAATACTACTCTATTTACGGACTCTAGCACTCTAACCTAAACGTCGCGAGTAAACGTAGCATAATATTTTTCGTGCAAGACAAGGGAAATGAAAACTGGATGAAACAATGAAAGAGGTTTAAATTTAATGATTAACGATAATAATAATAACGATTAACGTAGTATTAGCGACTAACGTACCGAGTAAACGCGAAACAAAAAAAAAATATATATATAAACGAAAGACTGAATAATTCACGCGCCGGGAGCCGGTTGAATTTTGGACGATTTGCACTCGTTTATTCGTGTAGGACAGACAGCTGCACGCGCGCGTGAATAAGAAACAATTGGAAGACTGCGGAAGGAAAAACCTGTCAAAATATTAAGAATTAGAGCGGGATGCGAGAGCGAGCGAGCGAGCGAGCGAACGAGAGCGAGAGACGAAACGAGTTTAAACGAGAATAATGTTTAGCTGTAATTTGTAGGTTGTAACGATTATATATTTTAACGATTATACTCTTACTAGGATGACGAATCTACATAAATGGCGCGCGGTGATTTCTCGATTAATTAAAGGAAAAAAAAACAAATAATAATTAGCCTGTTCAAGCGAGATATATAGGGGGTCGTCTATACGAACACGGAATGATTGAGAATATTTTAAAAGTGACGATTTGTTCCCAGCATCGCGAAACTGGCTTTTACACGCGAATTTACACACAACTGCACACGATGATTAAAATGAAAACAAATTTTTACACAAACAAACACTCTTCAGAACGTTTCGTAAAGGAATTATACACATGTACACCTGAGAACGCGTAACCAGATCATTACTACACATCTGCACATGATAACACAATCGAAT